CGACGCCAACTTAAACGTCCGATATTATTTCATGGAATTTCTTCAACCGTTTGAAGGAGACGGCGCTTTCAACCCCGCTCATGCCCCTGCCGAACACCAGATTCCATATACTGGTGAGCCATTTCGAACAGGAGCTTTTGCCCAAGCAGCTGCGCAGATATTCCGTGAATCCGATGCCACTACGAATTACGCATTCATACGAAAGCTGAACCAAATTGCAGATAATTGGACGAAGGAAGAAGTAGTGGCAGCTGCAGAGCAACAAGAGAAGGAAAACGCGGACAATGCGCAGAACAGGCTGAAGACTAAGAGGGAGCTTATGCGACGGTTGCTAAGGCAAGGCATACAGAAGGATGACCTGGTGATGATTGCATTGTTCCTTTTATAGTCTATGAACTGATTTTATTGTGGGTTGTGCCGAGTGACACCACTTTTCGTGCGGCAGGGGTCCGCATCTGTGGTGTCCGGCCTCGTTACAGTTGCTGCTGTAGCTAGAAAGTTAAACGCAGTCTTGTATTTAACGTTTTTTTGTGGGATCTCCGCCTAGAAGGAAGGGCGCTCCCAACTGTCAGTGAGGCAAGTCTTCTTTTTGTCCTCATGACCAGCCAGATTGCAGAACGGGAATAAAAACCGGTTTCCGAGGAAAGCGAACCCACCGCTGTTTATGCATAACCCTTGTCAGCGAGAATTTGTTTGCGATGAGCCGCACTGTAGTACGGCTTATCCAGCGAATCCAGGCGCAGGCACAGCAGCGTAGAACGCTGTAGTACTGCGCAGTTTGTATTTGGAAACTAAACGTCCGAAAATTTTATTCACTGTGGAGACATCCATGGTTGTTAGAGTTTTCTGTTGGTGCTAAAAAAACGAAGCGGATAACAAACGGGAGCATTAGATATGTTAGGGCCATGCTGCGGAAAAAACATACCGCACCAACTGGTGAAGGAATTCAAAGGGTACCGAAACGCCAGTAGGTCCCCGAAGCTTCAAGAAATTGCCTTCACTCGTGTATTTGCACTTCAAGCCGATCCGCCTAATCAATTTGTAGCATATACCACGCGGCGTTTCCCGATATACATTCTCCACTGTGTAGATATAGCATGGAGGGTAAGTGGTTAAAGTCGGCGGAAGTAAGGAAGCCTCTGCGATCGGCTGAGTTTAGTGAAATTCACGTAACACCTTAAATAACACGTCAAGCTAAGCCATTTCTCGCCACTTTTCTAGTGCTTCTGCTGTTGGAGGCTCAGTACAATGTGTCAAGTAGGTTGCGATCCTACCTAAAGGCACCCCAGATACCACTGGACGATGTGAGCATGCACAAGTACTTTGATGATTTCAACAAGGCCGCAGGCGCTATGAAAGAGGCATGGGAATCATCAAAATCGCCCGTGCAGCAAGCTTTTCAAAAACACTTCACACCGTCGCTTGAGGACGCCAAAGAGCCTCCAGAAGATCCGCTGGCGACAATCAGTGACCACGTGGCCAAGATGCGAGAATGCAAAATTCCATCTGATTCTGTTGTCGAGGCTCGGAGGGACTTCGCCCTACACCTGCAACTGCTACGGGACATTTGCCGCACCGTCACGCTTCGCCTTGAGGAATTGAAGTGGCTTGTATATATGAACGAGGAATTCGACGTGCCCGTCCCTGTACCTGGCCATGATGAGCCTTATAGTTACCCTGATCTTGAAGCGC